TTCCCGGCAGCGCTTTTTTTTTGGACTACTTATTTATTGCTCCAAGTTTCCGCTATGCTGAACGAACCCTTTTAACAAGGGCACCTACCTGCACCACTTTCATGTGAGCCCTTTTAGCAAGGGTACGTGGCATACAGCTCTGCCCTCAAACTATTTGCTTCTTGGCCCTTCTCCAGCTTTTGTTTGATCTCCTCCAAAATCTCCTTGTACTTCGGGCGCCCCTTCTGGGTTGGTTCCACAATCAACGGCGGTCTGCCTTTGAAACCAGGGCTTGTGCTGCCACAAATGTAAGCCCTCCATGTTTCCTTCCTTGCGCAGCAAACCGAAAGCTTGGACCACGGCTTTCTTGTTTGGATGCTTTGCTTGCTTGTGACATGGAACCTTTAATCAAGGTTGTGCCCTTTTTTCTTTTTCCTTCACCTTCTTTGCAGGCTTCTTGCAAAACACGAATCCCCAGTTCTTTCTTTCGGTCGGGCTTGCTTTCTTCTGTTTTTCCCCAACAGCTGGAAGCTTTGGGGTCTCAGCCCAGATAGGCTTCAGTTCCACAAGCGTTCCATCAGGGTTGTACGAGGTTCTGCGAGGGCTGCGGGGTGGCCCTATCTATAGCGTCAATCTCAATCCATATTCCGAGCCTCCAGAGGAGCGGTTAAACACTAAGGACCCCGATTAGAAGCTGTTGTCCAAAAAGGCCGTGGTCCAGCCAAACCGGCCCGGCTGGATGTTGCCATTCGTCCAGGGTGTCCCTGCAAACAGCAGTGGTGCCGCCAACCAGCCTCAGACCCTCCAGATCCGGTGCCCTGGTCCTGCAAGTAGAGGTCCACTGGTCCACAGACATTGGGGCATCTCTCAAGGTGGAGAGACGCAAAGACCGGCAACAGGGCCTGAGAAGCAAGCATTCACGCGCACTCGTGTTGACTGGCGGGCAGGTCGTGGATCCAAAATCTCTCAGTTCGTGCCTCCATGATGCTCCTTACCGCGGCTTGGAGAGGAGCACGGGATTTCCACCAACCCACGGAGGACTACGCCATCATAGTCAGACGCGTGGCGCTCGAGGTGCGAACGCCCAGCACAACCCCAGCTGGCTGGAGGACCTCCCAGATGCGGCTGTAGTTGATCTCCGGAAAGGCTTCAGTCCTCGGCGCACGTTGGCTGTCGCTTTCCAGCACTACGCTGCGCGAACGAACAGGGACAAACCCAATGAGCACAACTGGGTACACCTGGATCTTCGGCGGTCCTGTGCACAATCGTCATTGTGGAGCGCCCCGCTGCGAGTTGATGGCACGTGGTACTGTACCCTCCGACCAAGGTTTTGCTTCAAGGCGGAGTTCTGCATCCGTGCGGCAGTACTGTCTTACCCGTTTCAGCGACTTTGGCCACCCTCCCGCACTGGGACGTGATTGAGTGGCAAGACCACTGTCCTTCACGCTGAGCTTCTTTTTCTCACCGTAACAGCTCATGATGTGCAGGTCTGCAGGCTCCGTATCTTGTTGTAGGCGTCTTGTGCGCCAGGGTTGGAAATTCCACATCGGGGCGGAGTGCAGCCTCATCTGCCCGGGCTTCGAGGGGAATCTTCCCTCAGCCTCCCCTTGGCCTGCAGCGCCGGGGCGCCCTCCTCGCTGACCCGCAGCCACTTCACGAAGTCGAAGATGCCGGGGTCGGAGCGCTCTCCGTGAGCTCGTGCCGCCCGCCGGCCAGGTCCTGGACCAGCTGGCTGTGCAGCCCTGGGAGGCTCGAGAACTCGTTGTGAGCCTGGCCGTATCTTTTGGACATTGCATGTGCGCCTACTTTCGCTGAAGGCAGCATTGCCATGCGTTCGTGTGTCTGCTCTGGTATGTAAACCGCTGTTCTAGGCTCAACATGTACTCTCTTCCAGTATGGGCCTTTTCTGAAGGATGTGGAATTGCTTGTCCAGCTGCACCTGCGCTGCTGACTCCTGTAGTGTTGGTGGTGTTGTTTTCTCTCTCAACCTTGTCCGTGGGTTGTAGTGAATCGTTTGATGAGTTTGTGGACTGCTCCTGCTCCTGGAAAAGGGATGTAGTTCCGTTTGGTCCCGCAGCATGCGCTTCCAAGAAGGACTGGAGGTCCTGGCTCCAAGCTTGGCCAAACCCTCAGAAGGAAGGTGCAGCTCTTAAGGCACCCAATGGATGGAGTGGGCCGGCACTTTCATTCGGGCGGCTTTTCCTCCTGCATTCCTGGCGGATGTTGGCTTCTTGGGGGCCCGGTCTTGGGGGTTCCAGCTCGACGCCAAAGAGGACGTCCTTTCTTTTTTCCACCATCCTCCATGGTCAGCTCCACCATGTTTTTCTGGTGTGGTTGATGGATTCACGGGCCACATGGATGAGATCCGCTTTGGCGTCCTCAAAAGGGTGGTCCGCCCGGGGTCTCACGGAAGTTCCAGGACTGCTTGCCCATGTCCAGGATGTCCGTTTTATTTGCAAGGCATAAGGGTGTGGTGAGCCCGAACACCTCCTTGAACAGCGCGAAGCCCCGCTCGAAGATGCCCTTCAGGTTGGGATGGCGCCAGGATGTCTTCAACCCCCCGCCCCGCCTACAACAACGCTAGGCAGCCAGTAGGGCGGTTTGGGGGCTCCTGGGTGAGCAGCGCCTTCAAGTCTTGGTGGGCATTGGTGGGTGCCAGTTCTCCCCACTTTACAATCACCGACATACCCTTCAAGTCGCTCGTGGCCATGGCGTAGATCTTTCCCCAGGAGGCGAGGGAGGCGGAGAACTGCGGACCGATAAGGCCAGTCCTGCCGTTGCGACGAGGGTCTCCCGCACGCTCAGCGGTCTCTTCCAGCCTGAGCACCGCCTGGCAATCCGCCCTCGTCCTCTCCACAGCTCGCAATGTCACACCGGGGGTCGTTTTCCAAGCAGGATGTGTGCCGGGTTGCCGAAAGAAGGTTTGTGCTTTGCCACGAGGATGTCGTTGTCTTCATCTCATAACTTTTCCCGACCGGGCTGGGTGACTTTAAAGTGGCCAGCGCTGCCCGCACCCGCAAGACTGCTTGGTAGCAGAGGGGGCAGGGGGCCCATCGCCGCTCGTGAGGGCGTCCCGAATTCCTGGTCCCGCGCCCAAGTTCTTGAGGTACTCCTCACATTCACATGAGCCTGCAGCACGCGCATGTCTGCGTCCTGAAGGTCCGCCTCCGTCAGTGCAGGTGCCCGGCAAAGCGCCGGCAGTTCCACTCCACGCCCTATCATCGAACAACTGCAGGCCAGCGTGCGTGGTTCTGGGTGAAGAGGTCTATCGTGCCCATCTCTGCCTCGCGTCGCAGTCCAGATTACATTCCAGCTGCTTTTTCCACCACCTTTCATGGACCCAGGCCACCAACGAGAAGTTGTATCAGGCCAGGAGGTTGCCTGCACGGCGGAAGCGGCGCTTGAAACAGCTAGCTGTCTGCCTTGCACCAGCTAGACACTGTAGCCCTGCCAAGGTTGAGGCAGCCATCTGCCAAGGGTTCTCCCAGGATTTCCACCCTGACCTCCGTGTCCACGTCCATGGGGCCTTGAGAGTCAGCAGAAGCCTCACGGGCCGCTTCTCTTGCGGCCTCCGTTTTGACATCGTGTTTTGCATCCATCGCAGCATCCATGGCGGTTCCATCCTGAAAAACAAACAACCGAGACAACACTTGAGCCAAGATGGCCCAACATCCGAGAATGCAGCAGCAAATGAATCTTGGCCCTAAGACATCCCTGTTTCACCGAACAAGTTTGGCCAACATGAGAAGTGTTGCTCAGAAGCGTCGCGTCGCTCAGGAGTGTTGCTACGAAGTGTTGTTCAGAAGTCTTGCTCAGAAGTGTTGCTCAGAAGTGTCGATTAAAAGCGTTGCTCAGAAAATGCCACTCAGAAGTAGTCGCTCAGAAGCGTCTCTCAGAAGAATCGCTCTCATATTTGTGTGTAGAAGTGTCGCTCGAATGCTTCTTGGGAATGTCCCAGAGTTTTTGCTGATGCGCGTGTAGAAGAGCCACACGCATGATCAGAAGTGGCGGTCAGCGGTGTTGTCAGCAGTGCCGCTAGGAATATCGCTCAGAAATGTTGATCGGAAGTGTTGCTCAGAGGTGTCGGCAGAAATGTCGCGTGTCGCGCGTTGCTTACATGTGTGTGTGTGTGTGTAAAGAGTGTCGCTAGAAGTGTTGCTCAGAAGTGTCGCTTACGCATCCGTAGGGGTGTCGCTTAGTTTGCTCTAGCTTCAGGATTGGCGCTTGACGCTGAGATGCGTCAATAGAGGCGTCGCTTGGAAGCGTAGTTCGCAAACTGCTGCTAAGTGCGCTCAGAAGTGTCGCTGATCTTGTTGCTCAGCAAAGTGTCGCTCAAGCTCTTGCTCAGAAGCGTCTCTCAAAAGGGTCAGTGACAAAAGTCGCTTACGAGCTGCGGTGACGAGTGTTTAGAGGTGTCGGCTGAACGGTCGGTCAGAAGCTCAGAAGCGTCGCTGAAGCATGGCTCCAGCTGGGCAACATTGCTCGAGTCACCGTGCACATTCCCAAGACCATCTTTCGCATTTGGGTTCGTGGCCTTCTATCAGGCTTGCTTTTGCAGATTGAAAAGGTTCGCGGCCTGCGTGGGCGAGATCCGCAGCCCAAGTCGGGCGGGAACCAAAAAAAGCGATGCCGCGCGTTGCAGCAGACTCGTTGCACTTTGCAAGCGGCGCCAATCTCGCAAAGCATTTGCGGGCATTGCAAGTCCTGGTGTCAAGAACCTACGGTCAAACACAAATCATGATAAACCAACACTTGAACCAAAGATTTGGCAGGATCGCTTGGGGCAATGAGACAGTGAACTTGAACAGGTCCGCTTTTAGACCCCCCGCCTCCCCAAAACCACTGGATTGCGTGAGGGTGAGTGTGATACAGTGCGAGATCGCCATGCGAATATGCCAAAGTGTTAAAAATATGAAAAATTTCAACGTAGCAAGTAGCGGCGTTAGCAAAAACAAGTGAACCTTTAGCCCCCGACGGCTTGATTTCTTTCTGCTTGGCCTTCCGGGGCCTGGGGGCCGGGCGGGGAGCGTGCGGGTCTGCCGAAGACCTCCGGCAGCGCCTCCTCCGCGATCATGGGCGCCACGGGGCGGAACCACTGCCGCGCCTGTCAAAGTTTAGACATGGATTCAACTTCTGTTTGTTTCGAAGCTCCGGTTGGGACTCCTCTGCTGCAAATTATCACTCAAGCCCCTTCCTGACTGAACTCCTACAGTGGCCAGAACCCTCACCAAGCAAACACCTAGTGAGCATCTCCTAAACTTCCTGACTCATTGACACTCACTAACTCACTGACTGGCTGACTCATTGGCTGACTGACTGACTGACTGGCTGGCTGGCTGGCTGCCTGACAGGTTGCCATTGTCACTTCGAAAACGGCTGCTGCATCGCGTGCCTGTACTGTTCCTGCGCTTTCTTTGCCTCTTTCAAGCGTTTCGGTTGCCTTCCCAACGAAATAGAAGGACGTGGGAACGGAGCTGGCATGAGGCAGGAATGCTGTTGCAGTGGCTGAGAAAAACTGCAACGCAATATGGCCAGCCAGCGGAGGTTCTGCAGAAAGGGCGAGCACTTGACCCATCTTAGAGCTTTCAAGCCTATAAGGATGCCATCGAAGAGACCTCATCTCAAGAGATACAGTACCAAATGCTCAAGAAGATCAAGGACAACATTGAAAAACCCAAAGGGGCAGGCAAGGAGAACCTTGTTAGAAGGGAGCGTCCTGATGTTCCTGGACCTGCTTCAGCTTCCCTGCCCTTGGTTTGGATTGGTCACGCGGCCCGAGTACCATCCCACCTGTCAAGAAGACAGGGCGCCGCAGGTTGGGTATGACATTCGCCCTGTCGCTGGTGCATTCTGACGACACATCCTCCATTTCGTCTGGCCACACATTGCCCGGTGCCACAGACTATCGGCGGCGACACACTACCTTCTGACTACGCATTGCCCGGCGGCGACGCCTTGTGACGACACAGAAGTTGACGACACGTTTCCACTTGACGCCGCTTTACACAGCGACGCATTGCGACGACACATTGGTTGACGACACATTACCCCTTGACAACGCGTGACCCGGTGGCCCCAGGGACGCAGAGACACAGAGACACACAGCCACGCAGAGACACAGAGACACAAAGAGACTTGCAGACACACGGACATGCCACTGTCCGCCTGCCAAAGCTTCGCCCCATGCAAGAATCCTCCGCAAAACAGCCATCTTGTCGCAAACCATGGCTCGTCATCACTTTTGCACTGGAAAAGCCAAAGGCCCGGTAACCGGAGAAGGCTCAAGAGCCGCCTGTAGTGGAGCTCAACTTTTCTGCTGCACACAGCCTCGGCCTCTGCTGGCGGATGTCTGGCCATTGTTGTCAGGATGGGTGTTCACGCGCGCCACCCACACGTTTTTTGCGTTGGAAGGCGCACACGGTCAAAACAGGCTGCTGGTTGCGCGCAGCTGTGAGTCCAGCAGCAGGATACAGCTGTCTAAACGGCTGTGTCAGAGAAGCAGGGATTGAACAGGGATGCCTCTCGCAGCTGCTGATGCACTGCCAGCGTGCGCGCTTGCAACATTTGGCGCGTCATGGGCGCAATCTCATTAGCCCTGCGCCCACACGCGGCTTCTCTTGCCCGCTGACCGAAAGGCGCGAGAACAGTTGAACTTCGGCGCGTCCAGCCACGAGAGCGTCTTCCTTGTCTTGTTGACTGTACCCTTGTTGACTTTACTCTTGTTGACCTGCATTGATGATTATGATCTGTACTTTTACTTGGGGCTGGCTTGTTGCAATAGGCAGGCGCAGGCTTTCCAGGACTTGGCGCGGCGAAGGCTTACCCGTCACGTTAAGGAAGCCAAGGAGACCCACCGCACCACCAGCAACAAGGAACACAAAGTAGAATGAACACAGGCATACCAAGATCTTCGAGCCGAGTCAGTTGCCCTTCGGCGCTGGCGGCCTGAAGCGTACAGGCACTGCGTTGCGACTAGACCATGTTTTAACGTTGTTTGTGTGGATTTGCTCTTGCTGTCTGGCTTTTTCGGCATTCAGCCTTTTACAATGACTTTCAGTCGGCGCTGCAGCAAGCTGGTTTGTTCATCATTTGTTGCCACGCGCGGGCCTTTTTCAAATCTCAAGCTCGGGATCCAGCTGCTTGGGGCTTCTTGAGTCTTGTGGCGCCAGCGAGTTGGTTTGTTTGTTTGCTGTTAGATTGTTTACGCGCCCGGTTTCACGCTGCCCCCCAAAAGCTTCCTGTTTGGATCCGCGTTTGGTGTGTTTGATGGCTCTTGGCTTGATTGCTTGCTCGGGGTTCGCGTCGGGCGAGCCAGGCTGGACTTTCAGAAGCTTCATTTCTGGATCCGCCTTTTCACAAGAGCGTTTCCGGAAGCGTTTTGGGCGCGGGCTGCAAGACTTCCCCCCAAAGTCTCCTCGAAAAATGTGTTGCGCAAGCGTGCTTGCCACACACTTTGTGCTCCGAAGCTGTCTTGTGCTTTCTATGACTCGTTTGCGGCGTTGCCCCAGGGCCAGGCCCCTTAGACTGCAAGCCGGTCGGCGCCAGCCATGGCCGACAATGGCGGTGGCAACAGTGGCGCCAGCGGGGAGACCAGCAAGATCAAGGGCGAGGCCACGGTGACAGACAGCACCGCCAACAGGCAGGACGCTGGGCCAGCAATGACACGTTCCCGGCTCCCAATGTTGATCGGGAAGCCACGCCCCATTTGAGCAAGGCCTCGTCAAGGCCAGCCCGTCGAACTAAACTGTTTGTTGCAGGTAGCACGAGCTAGCCAATCCAACGCTCGGGACGCTGCAATGTCAGCCCTAGGCATGCCCTGCCTTCGCATCGCTGCACTTCAGGGCTGCAGCGGTTGACTCATGGACGTTAACGTTGGCCAGGAGCTGTTCGCTGTCAGGTTGCGGCTCGCGTTTGGACGCCCGGCTTGTCAAACCAAACATTTGCCCCCGAATGTAGGCAGCTTTCAGGAGGGGAAGCGCCGCCAGGCGGATGTGATCTGGGCCGTGGCGGTTGGTCAGAGCGCAAAGCGGAAGGCCAAGGCTTTCCTTCATGACCATTGGCGAGATGGAAGCGCTTCAAGCAGGATTTCAGGCCGGAGCCTTGCGAATAGCTTGAGAGGCAGTATGCCAAGATGCGATGCTGGGGAACGCATTCACAGTGTCTGTGGCCGGACGTGTCACCATCCAACTTCTGAAAACTATCGGGCCCCATGCCCCCTGACTGAAGCGGCGGCGTTTGACTTCAGTCTGTTCGCTAGCTTTGCCACGGCGGGCGTGCAAAAGCAAGAGTTGCTTGAGGGCCGGCGGCTTACCCCAACGGGTCTACAGCACGTGCAGGGCGCAGGCGCATGGAAGGGCCGCATCGGTGCCTTGCCCCAGCGACCTACGGCAAGCTTCACCACCTGCCCTGGGCACCAGGGTCTTTCAGCTAAGCTACGCAGTCAACGTGTTGCGCACTGTAGACTTTGTGGAGCCGCGGCACGCAGACCCGCAGGCTCGCCTTCACGTACAGGCGTTGTGTGCCTTTGCGATTGACATGTTATGTGTCAACTGCGCTTCTACCGCGCAGGCCCTATCGCGCTTGCGACTCCCAAGTTTGCATTTGGCTTAACGGCAACCGTGCTTTTTCTCAGCCACTGAAATCGATTTCAACGGTTGGCATTGTTGCGCTATCCCGGTGCCACACCGTTCAACTTCCAGAGCTGCAGCAGACCACACCCTCGAGCTCAAAGCGGCCAGGACAACAGAACAACACAGCAGAGCGTGCGAGCTCTGCAGCACAACCCTGTATGGAAACAAGCTTCGGACAAATTTGAAGCAGACAAGCATCGCTTCGACAGCTGGAGAACGCGTTTTGCCAAAGTATGCCTGACATTTGAAGCCGTGATCAGGACAGCGGACGGCTTACGATGAGCGTCGATCGGAAGAAGCTGGGACAAGCAGGCAGAAAGTTTCTGCCTACTTCTTTGCCACAATTTGTGCAGAATGCTTCTCGGCATAACTTCGCGCCAGAGCACTCAGACTCATTTCTGCAGGCCAGCAAGACATAGCCCAACACTGTTTCCAAGGCTTCCCTTTGTATTTTGGGGGCCTGCGTCCCGATGTCTGTCAAGAGTTGCGGGGGGTGCCAGAGCTGTGCTGATGCCGGCGCATTTGAGAAAAGTGACGCACGTTCTTCTTAACGCTGTGTTCCCAGCGGCTTCAGGTTCACTCATTCAAGCGCCCATTCCCCGGCGGCTGTCAATGCGGTCACCACCTTTTGATAGTCCATACAAACAAGGGTTTTGGGCCTGGGTCTGATTCTCCACTCCAGGAAAGAGCTCGTATTTTGCCATGGGCGAGGCCACCGTGCAAATGTTTCTGGCAAGCTGGCTTCACGAGCGCAGGTTTTTCCACTCAGGCCCTCTGGATCTACAATGGCAGGGGCGCGCGAGCTGGAATTTGCTAGCCAAGCTGCCCACACAAATCCAGCATCGCACAGTGCTTTGAACAAGTATGGCAAGCTGCGACTGGTCCAAGGCATCTCGCCCTTGCGGCTTCCGTTTTAGCGCCCGGGCGCGTGCGTTGTTCAAGTGTGCCCGGCAACAAACTTGACAGTTTGACACAATGTTGCCGGATTGCCCTGCGCAACTTCAATTCGATTCGACTCGCTCCTTCTTCCCTGTGCACGCTGACTTCTTCACATCATGGGACTTGTTCCTGCGCGTCTTGCACGTGCACAGCTGTTTCACCTTGCTTTCGGCGCAACGTTTGGGACCTGTTTCACCCGACCATCTGCCCGTGCCGCAGAGGCTGCGCCCTGTTCTACAAGCACTGGGGCCTCAGACTTTGCATGAGCTGAACTCAGCTTAGCTTCGAAGCAGCGAGGACGCTAACAAGGCCGGCCATCACTCCGAGGAGACTTTGGCAGTCTTGCTTTTCACTTTGCAGCGTGCCCCCCAAAACGCTTCCGGAATCGCTTCAAAGAAAAATCTGAAAGTCCACCCTGGCCCGCCCGACGCGAAGAGCAAGCACACCAAACGCGGATCCAAACATGAAGCTTCTGGGGGCCCAGTGTGAAACCGGGCACGCAAACAAGCTAACAGCAACCAAACAAACCAACGCG